AAAGTTTTTCCTTATGTTTAACTTGAACCTTCTGTGCTCCAGCTTGTGCCCATTGCCCCGTGTCCTGTCTACTTACTCTTCTTAGGTATTTAGAAACCAAATAAATTTTTTTTTCTTGCAAAAATCTGTCTTAGCATTACTAATTCTAATTTGCAACGTAATCAATCAAAATGTAGTAATTAAGCAAACTAATTCCTATACTACAAATTGAAGTTCTACAATACAGTTTACTGTTGGTTCCAGTAACTCTCATAACCAAAGGAATGTGAAACAAGCGCAGAGAAAGCTGGAACAATGAAGAATTAAAAAATGTTATTTCTGGCATTTGTGAGGTTTGAAAAACCTGAAATAAACTTCACAGATCAGCTAGTGTAAGTTGAAAAAGTTTCCATTACCTTTGTAGATTTTTCACAGATATGTTCTGCACATTTTTTCTTAATAAGGATTTTAATTATTATTATTTTTTTTTAATTCTTGCGTTAAAAGGTAAAACTCAATTAGGAGAAGTTATCTTTGCATAATCCTCCTCCAGCTAGTTCAACCCTCCCTGCCAGAGCAGGATCACCCAGAGCACATCACACAGGAACTTGTCCAGGTGGGTTTTGCATGTCTTCAGCGAAGGAGACTCCACAACCTCTCTGGGCAGCCTGTTCCAGTGCTCTGTTACCCTCACAGTAAAGTTTTTCCTTATGTTTAACTTGAACCTTCTGTGCTCCAGCTTGTGCCCATTGCCCCGTGTCCTGTCTACTTACTCTTCTTAGGTATTTAGAAACCAAATAAATTTTTTTTTCTTGCAAAAATCTGTCTTAGCATTACTAATTCTAATTTGCAACGTAATCAATCAAAATGTAGTAATTAAGCAAACTAATTCCTATACTACAAATTGAAGTTCTACAATACAGTTTACTGTTGGTTCCAGTAACTCTCATAACCAAAGGAATGTGAAACAAGCGCAGAGAAAGCTGGAACAATGAAGAATTAAAAAATGTTATTTCTGGCATTTGTGAGGTTTGAAAAACCTGAAATAAACTTCACAGATCAGCTAGTGTAAGTTGAAAAAGTTTCCATTACCTTTGTAGATTTTTCACAGATATGTTCTGCACATTTTTTCTTAATAAGGATTTTAATTATTATTATTTTTTTTTAATTCTTGCGTTAAAAGGTAAAACTCAATTAGGAGAAGTTATCTTTGCATAATCCTCCTCCAGCTTAATAAGCACAGAAATATTTAGAAATATATTAACAATTGCTGAATCAGACATAAAAGCAAAAACCACAATTAATTTTTACTTTGAAATTCACATTCTACACACTAATATATTATAGGTTTCATTCACTCAAAAAGATGTTGTTTTTCTCCTCTGGAAATATTTATAACATTGTACTAGTTATAATATAACCCTGATGAATCCTTTGTGGAAATGCCTTGCAGAACAAATCTGCTGCTAAAAAGTCACCTTCAAGATGTTCATCTTTTAACCCTTCTGGTGTGACATAAGCTCAGCTGAAAAAAGGCATTTTAACCCCATTATTACCAGTGTAAAACAACATTTATGGATTAAGACAAAAAAGAGAAATCACTGTCTCACAGCCCAGTAGTTTCTCTCTCATATATACCACTGGACACTTCTGATAGGGCAATTCACAGTTCTGTGAATTTCACTCCTGTGAAGGAGTGAAGTGTGTACTGCTTTAGGCATTAGAGAAATGGTGGGATTATGATGCATACTCAGACGGGAAAGGCCAATTATGGAAAATGGTTTTGTACAAATAAATTTTTCACAAATTCTACACATGAAAACCTGCTTTTGATACTCTTTCCTATTGCAGACAAACTTCTTTATTAGAGTTCTGGTGGCTTTCCTTCCTGTGTCTGAACTCTGTTTGCTACCCTTGTTTACCTTACACTGTCTTATCTTCACGTCTTATCTTCAGCATTACAAACATTTCCGAAGAGAAGAGAAGAGAAGAGAAGAGAAGAGAAGAGAAGAGAAGAGAAGAGAAGAGAAGAGAAGAGAAGAGAAGAGAAGAGAAGAGAAGAGAAGAGAAGAGAAGAGAAGAGAAGAGAAGAGAAGAGAAGAGAAGAGAAGAGAAGAGAAGAGAAGAGAAGAGAAGAGAAGAGAAGAGAAGAGAAGAGAAGAGAAGAGAAGAGAAGAGAAGAGAAGAGAAGAGAAGAGAAGAGAAGAGAAGAGAAGAGAAGAGAAGAGAAGAGAAGAGAAGAGGAAAGAAAAGAAAAGAAAAGAAAAGAAAAAAGAAAAGAAAAGAAAAGAAAAGAAAAGAAAAGAAAAGAAAAGAAAAGAAAAGAAAAGAAAAGAAAAGAAAAGAAAAGAAAAGAAAAGAAAAGAAAAGAAAAGAAAGAAAGGAAAAGAAAGGAAGAGGGAAGAGGGAAGGGAAGGGAAGAGAAGGCAAGGCAAGGCAAGGGAAGGGAAGGCAAGGGAAGGCAAGGGAAAGGAAGGCAAGGGAAGGGAAGGCAAGGCAAGGGAAGGGAAGGCAAGGGAAATTCAGAGAAACTAGATTTGTGTCAACTAACTGAAGAAAACATCACAGCAGAGGAAAACCATAAAACAGGTCAGATGCATGAGATAAAGGCTACACTCTTGTTACCACACCCACAAAAAAATGGAAAAGCATTATCTTGTACAGCATACGCATTACTTCCCCCACATAGCCCAGTTTCAGTGATGTAACCAAGGCCTGTTTCACTAGATGACTGTGTTCCCACTTACTGCTGCTAATACTTCAGCAAGCACAGTAGCACAATGAATGAGACTTTTCTGTATAATTTATTGAATGCAAGGCCTCTCATGATATTTTATCTTTGCAACAAAAGATAAAACTATTTTTAAGAGTTTGAAAGGCTGAAAACGGAGAATTCATGAAAAAGAAAGTCTTATCAGAGGTGATCTTCCTGATAGGACAGCAGTAGGTTAGACACTGTGCCCTCAGAATAATTACAATTACACTAAGTAAGTGTTCTCAAATTGTATTCAGATCAAAGGCTGGGTTACTTTTTCCAGGTACATGACTGTAATTAGAGCTGCTATCTCACTCACAATCTGTTCTTGCTTTAGACATAAAAAAATAAAAATATTTTCTGCAACGTTTTGAAGTAAAAGCTAGCAAGTCAAACCCCGTAATGAGGTGGCATGCATTGGTATCACAGTGAACGTTTTTTTCTGTGTTAAAGAAAGATTGTAGAACATTCTTTAGATGCCAGTGCATAAGGTTTGAATCTAAATTGTTTTAAACAAAATACTGTTCTTTTTAAAAATTATATTTTCTATTTAAAAAGGTCAATATTTTTCAGGCTTCAATGGGGAAACAGGGGAGCATGAAGGCAAGAAAAGCTGTTTGCCAAAAAGCTTACTTGGCTGACATTCTTACTTGGCCAGGTGCTGATGACAGTATGTTTGCCATGTGAACAAAGACTTTTCTGAGGAGACCCATACTACATAATCTACAACCCTGCACAAAAATCAAACCTGCAAAATAACAGTTCATATAATCTCTTGTATGATTCATATTGCCACTCTAAGTAATTGGTACTCACAGCAACCTAATATTTTTAGGAAAGCACTACAGCCGCAATTTTTGTTTCATCTATAGGTCAGATCTTAGAATAAAACATCAAACATTTGATAAATGCCAGAATTCTCAACAGATATTATATGTTTAATCTTGCAAAATGCCTTTGAGGAGATGAGAAGAGATACTGGGATTTATAGCCACTCAGCAGAATGCAGACAATGCAGAGTAGGCAGTTGCAGAGTATGCAAATTGCATAATCTGGCCTGTAATTTTAAATCCAGCCAAGAGGTCAGTTTAGTTAAATCCTTCAAAGATAGCAAGCAAGAGATACATGTTTGTAGGAGACAGTAAAATTCTGTTTCCTAGTCTTGTACCAGCATTCAACATATCACTTTGGCTTTCAGAAGCACATACATTCTACCTTGTTTGTTTGTTTTTGGTTTTGTTTTATTTTATTAAGACCTGACTGTTACCGTAGAGTAAGGAAGTCTTGGAGATTTTGCATAGCATCTACTCTGGCATGTCCTTCTGATAGTGGTCCACAGATTAGGAACAGAATTATCTCCTGGCCATGGTTGCAAGGCTTATTTCTGAAGTAATTATAATTTTTTTTCTCCTGTTTCTCACTGTTTATTTTCATGCTTTTCAAATTAAATATTTCACACCCATAAACAAATGTCTCTTTATCAAAGTTCCTTGAAAGACAGAAAAATCTAGCTTGTGTCTAAATAGGTCATGATGATTCAGCTTCAGATTAGGAAAGCTGCTAACATCAACACTGAAACATAGCCGAACTGCTACCTCAAGTTTTCAGCCCCTTTTAACTGTTTCTTCCTTTTCTCTGTTCTTCTCACAACAGCATTAATTAACTTTTCACAATCTGAGTGGATTTTATAAAAAGCAAACCTTCAGCCAAGGCATCTGCCAAATCAGGTATGTCCTTTGGTTGTTTTACTGTTTTATTTACAGAAATAAAGGAATGCCAAAGACTGGGATTGCAGAATGTACACTTGGTTGGAGAAAATGAGCTGTAAAAGTACAAAGCATCTTCTTGCTTTTTCTTCAGCCTATAATCAGTATGTCACAACAATTTTCAGAGATTTATTTGCTTTCCTTCTACCACCAGAAATTCTGGCAAAGATTTCCAGCCGGAAAAAACTATTTCCCTGTATCAGAGGCTTTATTAACTATGCAAGTTTTCTTACCAGTCAGAGGATGGTTCAATATATGAATCCTTGCTCCAAAATGACCATCATATTTGCCAGGAGCAACTATGTGAGAGCAACTCAAAGTTTCTCTCTGGAAGTGAGAGAAAAGAAGTAGCTTGAGAGACAAATGGAAAATATGCTGGATGTTAATAGATGGAGCAAATTAGCCTTCATATGTCCAATTTAAATAGATGTAACTTCTGGATTCTCTCATTCCTGCACTTTCAGTCATCTAGAAAATCCAGCAGTAGTTCTTGTGGAACGATGGAGTATATTATTATGGTAAGAAAGTCTGGAGCTCTGAAACTTTTGAAGGCCTGTTTGGTACTTTTGCTCAATCAGTTCCTCTAAATTATGCTTCCTCCTTGCCTTTCCCCCTTCTGTTGCTTTGTGGCTTCTGTATCTCATACCATGAGTATAGGAACAGCTCCTTTGTGAATACTTCAATAAATGTTTATTTTCTTTCCATTCACCATTGGGTAAGTCTACGGTGTATACCATTGGCAGGTGACAAGCTCTGATGAGGAGCTGAGAAGGAATCCTGCAAAGGTGTTCATCATGTCTTCAGACTGCTTTGATACTCTATTCAAGGTGACTTGGTAGGAAAGACAGAAGCCAGTCCTATACAGGATATAATGTCAAGTCACACAAAGCAAATTATCTCCATGAGAACCCTACAAATTTTCATTCAACAAGAATTGCTCAAGCTAGGTCCTAGATCAGGCTGTCCTAGCAGCTCCATTCCTTCCATGGCAGAGTTTAGCCATACACTTCTACATAGACTTGCTTCAAATTAACCCATATACATGGTTTCCAGGTGGACAAAATCTGTCTCACCAAAAGTTGCTGCATAACCAACTGCTAACATAAGATTTTTTTTTTTCACCCATTCCAGGAATAACTAACTGGAACTTCAAACCAGGCCCTTCATATTTTAAGGCAGTCAACATACCCTTTTCTTTTTTCTTTCCCTCTCACTTCTCCCTTCTGCCCCTCCCATACCCTCCAAGAGATAAGGCTCTTCATGCCTCACTGGTTCAGACAAAAGAGTTTTCAGGTTCTAGTAATTTTTTTCCCTTTAAAAGATTAATATCTTCTGCCATTCCTAAACAGCCTTATCTGAATTGGATCTCTCTCTGAATCTTATCTATCTGTGCAATTGTAGCAGGCTGGCAGATTAACAAAACTCTCTAAGGAGAGGTTCAGACCTCTCCTTAGAGCACGCTGCTACTGTCCACTGCACACAGAACTCCACCTTGCAGCTGAATTTCAAAAGCAGCAGATTTACAGCTGTATAGGCATCACTGTACATGGACTACTCATATACATGACTTCCTACTTCTTGTACATTAGCTAAACAACCTTAGAGCTAGAGCACACACAGCTCCATACTATTGCTCCAAGCGTATGAATGATATCCATTCTTTCAACAACAGAACAGGCTCCTAACTATACAGGCTCCCATTTGGCCATCAGGAATCCTGAGTATTCTTGGGACACACAGCAAGAGCTTAATGAAACAATCGTGTTCCAAGTCTTTTGCCAGTAGTTATATTTATTTGGAGGTTTGTAAGGGAAAATGTTCAACTGAAGGATACTGTACTGGTGTTGGAAGACATGTATGGTAGTATGACCATGTGCACTGTGGGAAAATCAACACAAGGCATATTCTTGCTCTCCATATACTCCTATAGCTCTGCCAGCACAGGAGAGTGAAAATCATGTAAAGGCTTCATTGCACTGATCTTTTTGCATTATTGATACAAACCTTATACACAATTCAACTTTTGCATTAGCTGAAGTATCTGTAACTTGACAGGAAGAAGCAGCAAGTACCCCATCATGAGAGTCTCCTTCAGAGACTGCCAGAGATTTTATACTGTGAAATCCAAGCACAGTTATTTATCAAACAACAAACACAAATGCATGTAAATTACTATAAATGAATGGTTGTAGCATGTGTAGATATATACCTATACAGATGAAGCAATTACATTGTGATTTTAAAGGGTCCAAGCAGTGGTCAAAGTCTTGAGAAGCATTTCTTAGAAATGGTGGTTCTCAGGCATTGCTGCTCCAGCCAGGAGACTGACAAAAAGAGATGGCGAAAAGCTGCAGCTCTCATCCGGTATAACCCAGCTGCCCTGGAGCCACTGACCCTCAGAGCTGGGCACTCCAGAAGATCACCAGCCCAAGGGCAGAGACAGGCAGCCTTCCCTGGGCAAACCCAGCCCGGCCAGCTGCCTCGGAGCACTGCTCAAACCAAGGCGCTCCTGCAGCAACAGCCGCTTTCGCCCCAAAATGACACCCGACCCCAACTCCCCGCGTGGTGCC